TATATATGCATTTTTTTACTTTTTGTTTTAATACTGCTATGTTTGCCATAAAATGGGAGACATTTTTAGTGAGCCCAGCATTTGGTGGACTTTTCCCCTTTTTATTCCTCCTTTCCATTAGGAGCTGAAGAGGGAAATGCCTAAATTAGACCCTTGCCTTGTCCAAATTACTTAGTTCTGGAAATTTTAATTACACAGTAATAGGACAAAAACATCTTTTGGGAGATTCTGTAATCTGTTACTCTACTTTGAGGTAAGAACATCTTTAACCATCTTAAAGAGACAAATTTTTATCTAATTTTTAAAAATCCTCAAAAAAAAAAAAAAAAGAAAAAGTGTCATACTTCTTTATAAGGGATTCCTCTTTAACAACTGTCCCTGCCAGGAAATGTTCCCTCATGCTCCAGTCTAAGCTCGTTTCCTCTTGTTCTATTCTTAGTGCATGTGGAGAACAGCTGGTCACCATCCTCTCTGTACCAACCCTTCATATACTTGAAAACCAGCAATGATTTGCCCCTCAGTCTTCTCTTCTCCAGGCTGAATAATCCCAGTTCCTTTAATTTTTCATCATAGATCTTTTTTTCCAACCCTTTAATCATCTTTGTGATTCCTGGCAAAAACAGCAGAAAATATTTGCATTACTTAATCAGAAATGAGGGAAAGCCTCAGTAGTATTTTTTCATATAAAGTTAAAATATGCAGGGAGGGAATATGTTAGTTGAGGGTTCTTAGATCTGAGAATTCTAATCTTGTTCTATAGCTCTAGCATGTGAATCCTATTCTAACACTTTCAATGCCTCAAAACATGGGACTTGCTTCCAATCCCATCCTGACATGACAGCACATGAGTTATGAGCTAGACCTGTCTAAATTTATACTGATTTAAAAATCAGCAAGAAAATCTATTCCAATGGATTCCCCATGGTTCTCATCCTGCTTTCATAAACAAAATCTTTCCTCTGAAACAACCAGACCTTTTACAAAGCTTCTTACAGATTACTACGGAGACCATGTTATGGTGAGAGCTGATGGTTTTAACGTGTAACCAGAAACAGTGAGGGTTTTATATGTTGACTGCAGTTTCTTCTCTACCCGAATGGTTTACTATCCTTTACAGGGATCAAACTCAAGGTCATTAAAAACTTCATTCCTCCACTGCAACCTGACATCTTTTCAAATTTCTCTTACTACCAATATAACGTCATGAAACTGAATAACATTTCACTATGTATTTTTAATTTGAGAGATCACAAGCTGCCTTTTCTCTTGCAACTAGAGTCTGTAAATATTAGGAACACATAACTACTTAATATCAATAGCACATTTACACAAATACAATACTACTAACGAGGAATTACGTGCTCACTCTACGTAACTGTCTTTAAAAGAAAAATACAGAAAAGAATAAATGCATTTTGATATGTTATACACCCTTTTATAAAGTGAATGGCAGTAAAAGAGTTGGGATCAGTCCAGAACTAATAGTGAAGAGGAGAAACCAATTTCACAAGAACATTGTACAACACATCTTAGGGGAAGTCAATACTACTCATGGTACAATACTGAACAGAAAACAGAATGGCCATTTGCATGGATTTCTTTTGAAAAAGTCTCCTATAATTTGCTACAAGGAACACCTTGTAACCAGGATGAAGGATGGCATAGGTCACATAAGTCAAAGGCCTTCCTAAAAGAGACACAGGATTAAAGGTAATACCCAAAGATGGCTTGTATGTGTCTACAGATGCCCCTTCTATTTCAAGGAGAGTGTCACTGTTCATTGGGATTGCACAAAAGCAGGCCAGCAAGATGTGGGTCGACAAGCAGACTTTCTCCTGACCCATTGACCAGCTCTTCTCCTAGGCCTGATAAAGGGAGAAGACAGGAGGTGAAGATTAGAAAAAGAAGAGGGAGCAACATGGGAGTTCACTGCTAGTTGTGGAGTTGCTCATGTTCTTCAGAGCAGTGGCCTTTTTTCAAGCTCACATCATCCAATCCAATCTCCCCAGTGTGACCACGCTTTTTTTCACCTTTGAAGATGACCTAAGGAGAGAATGCACACAGCAGTCAAGCCTCTTCTGCCCTTTCCAGTGCCTGCTCATTTAGCAAAATAAAGGCAAATGTCCCCCAAAACTAAATAGTAAACTCAACAGAAGAGTAGAACAGTGTCCCCTGAGGCTTGCCTTCTGTAAAAATGTAAATCTCCAGTAAACTGTTAATCAGACATTACGCAGAATCAGTTACTCTTTAAAAAGCCATTCTAAACTGTAGTCTACATCATTTTAGAAATACTTATGGACAGTTTTGTCAAAGATTACCAAGGTCAGAAGTAAAAAGAGTGTGATGGAATGAATATAAGGTACAGAAGTTGAGAGCCAAAAATCTGAAAGATCACAATCATGCAGCCTGCCTGATGTTTTCTGCTTCTTTCACTGGGTTCATAGAGCTTGTTATAAAATGGAATAGAATCAAATGCCATAATCCCATCACAGTGTTTTACTTATGTGAAGACCAAAAACTGCCACTATTCTTGTATTTTATGGAGCATCTTTGCTCCTTTTAAAAACAGAAGAAACCTTTCTATGCTGTGATTTGAAATGATCTATGATCTTGTTTTATTTCTCTAAAAATATGTGTTAAACATTTTTAAGAAAAAGATCAGAGTAAAACAAAATTCAGGACTGATAAAAGCTGTATTGAATCCTTTCTTTTTAAAAATAGTTTCTAGAAACTATACCCATAGGCATAGATATAGAATCTCCTAATAGCAAGTTTTATAAGCATCAACATAAAGAAGGCACTTTTTTCCAAGTTCATTATTTTCATGAGATGTTATAGATCATTTTTTTTGCTATCTATGACTTGATTACTTAAGATAAAATTTATATATTTAATCAAAGCTTTCCACATCCTGTCCTGAATAGAATGGTATTTTCCAAACATTGTTCTGGGTTCCCACCCAAGGCTGCTTAACCATGATCTCTAAGTCAAAAGGAAAAAAATGGATTTTAAAGAAACTTAAAAAACAAACCAAAACATTTTAGGGTAACTTATGGTGGTCAAAGTTTGAAGTATAAAGAATAAAAAGAAAAGCAGTAACAGTTAGCTCACCACCCCTGCCCTCTGAAGTTTCTCTTCATTAACTTCTTCACTTTTTCAATTCCTAATTTTTTTTTCCACTAAAAATAGGGGCTCTACCCCAGGATGGAGAGAGTGGTGGTGATCACAAGTTGTAATGAAGAATGCACGAAGAAGCAAAAAGTGATTACAGAAATAGGCAAGGAATGGCGTTGTCATGCCCAGAAAAAACACAAACCTTTGTCTGAGCCTGGGTTAATGAAGAGACGAAGTCTTCTTCGATTCAGACCCCAGAGTTCTCCTATGAAAGGAAAACCCCCCAGGTCTGCATCCTTTGTGGTTCTACTTACACTCTTGATGTCAGCCCCTCGCAGGGTGATCTGTGTCTGCCTCCAGCCATGGCCACCGTTTCTTCCCCACAGGGCTGCTCCATGGGCACCATGTTTTCTCAGAAACACCTGGAGCGTGCTGGAGTGCAGCCCAGTCACCTTGTGCCTAAACGACAGGCACAGGTTCCCTGAATGCATGAGGTGGCCAAGAGGTAGCACCAAGCGAGCAGCTTTTCCCCCTGGGCCCTTGGCTGCCGAAACTGTCAGATATTGTCCACCTGCAAGGGGAAAAGCAGGGCTGTGTATGTGCCAACATCCCTTCCCAGCACAAACAGTATGGACAGGAGTTTTACCTTTTTTTCATTTTGTTTTGTTTTAATAAACTTCAAACTGTGACAGTCATTTGTAAAGAATTCTAGATTTTTGGAAGAGAAAAATATGATGTAATTCTATGCCTGTCTTAAATTCCGTGGTTTTACTGAAAATACTCACTCTACTAATGGGGAGTATACATTATGGCAAAGACACAGTAATTAGTAATCCTGACACTATGAATATTTCCAGTGGAATATGATCAGACACACACAGGCATGCACAAACATACACATGTTCACCACCCCCTGATCCTCACCAAGTTATGAGTATGTTGTCAAGTTGGCTGGTTTGCTGGTTGACTCTAAGTTGCCAGGGAGAATGTTCTATGTGTATAATTAACCTCCAGGCACTAGAGCAGACAGTGGTTTAAAGGGCATTAGATCTGTTTATTCTCTCTTCTATTATTATATTTTTTAATCTTTAAAGAGAGAACAGTTCTCTATTTTTTTAAATCTTTAGAGAGAGAACAGTCCTTTTTAAAACAGTCCTTTTAAAAAGTCAGCTTGCTGTTTATCCCACTGGACTGCACCTCGTGCCAGGAAGATGCAGGTGTATTCTGGAAACCCTCCACACCTTCCTGGAGCATCAATTTTATTTGGAGAGAAGTTTACAATGTTTTTATATCAAAACAAATCCATAACATAACATACAAATTTCTAATTACATATACATGAAGACAAAATGTTAATAAAAACTGTGACTCTGGACAGGTCACTTTGTCCTCAGATCTTTCGGCCATGAAGTTTACCCACCCCCTTGCCCCAGTTGTTAAAGGAAATGCAATTAAGTGTGTAGGGAGTGAGGTGGGTGGGAAGTGTGAGCAGCAGTGATTGGGGAAGCTGCTCTTCAAGAGAGGGCGAGTTGCAAGTAGTATTTAGAAACTCGATCCATGTACAAATGACATTTGTCTCGGGCTGTTTTATTGAAGCCAACTGAAAAATACACTGTTTCAACACTGATTTATCCATAGGAAAATGTGACTGGCATACTGAACTCATGTATGTTTTAGTAGGAACCTCACATATTTTTCAGTTAAAAGATAAACTCTTATGTTTATATCAGACATAAGGTTGGGATGTCCTCCTATTCTGTGAGTGACTTCTTCAAAGTGCCCTCTGAGCAGTGATAGGACCAAATAGGTGATTTCCATGCACTTATTCTGTGCCAGAGTGCTCTGTGGAGGCATCGCATGACCACTGCTAACAAGCCTGTGACATGAAAGCTTGTCTCGCAGATGCAGAGCTAAGGCTTTGAGAGGTGAAGTCAGCCTAGGCGTTGCCCAGCCAGTGAGTGGCAGGGTAATAATTTAAGTTCAGAACCGCCTGAGCCCAGATTCAGAACTTACTGCACTCAGACTGGAATCACTGGTTGCATGCTTCTCTATTCTAGAAGACTGTGAACTCTTTGGTGTCAGAACCAACCTTTCCCCCAAACTACTCCATTACATTCCCAGCGTATGGTAAGAGTTTAATGCCATTTGTTGAATAAATGATATTCCAAGAATACAGGGGGAAAAACTACAGGGAAATAGGTCCTTGAGTCATATAACTTCAGTCGCCAACATACAATTTCTTATCTTCATCCCACCTGTCCCCATTCTCCTCCCCCAAATTAATCCAAATGGTATTTGGGGCCAAAATATTTAGATTTTAAATGTCTCCCCATAAGTCAGCTTTTGAATCATCACAGGTATTTTGATTAAGACTAAAATATAAGGTTATTATAGTTAACCTGCAAGTTTTAAGAAAACGAGCATTATCTTAAGTCCCTATGGAATGTACACTGTTATCACTGCGAGATGCTGCCAATAAACAAGACAACCTAACAAACCAAGGCATCCTAATAAAAGTCAAATAATCCTTTTGTATAGGTATTTAAAAGACTAAAATGTAACACACGATCAGTGAAGCTACAATTTCGCATCATAGAGCTGCCCTATGAACATTTTTTTGCAGTGTTATACCTTATTTTTCATAAATATATAAGCCATTTTTCTTTGTCGACAAATAGACATTTCTCACAGCTGCACGTATGCCATTAATAACCAATTTTTCACTGAAGAACATTTAAGTTGTTTCTAATTTTCACTTTAAGATAATACCATAAAATAGTTAGACAAGCAAAAAAATACTTGCAACACATGAAAAAGGACTAAGTTTCCGTTTTACATAAAAAAACTTACAAATAATAAAAACAAAAAAATAAAGGGCATGTTAGGGAAAAAATGACTTTTAAAATGTGAAAAGATAGTCGACTTGTAACAATGAAAGAAATTAAAGTGAAATGACCTTTTACCTATGAGGTTGATAAAGATTTTTAAGAGATTCTAAAAGTATTGGGGATGGTCCTTAAATATTGTTGGTGAGAGTATAAATTGTTATAACTCTTATGAAGGGCAATTTAGTAAAATCTATCAACATTCAAAATGCAAATTCCCTTTGATTCAGCATTCTGCATCTAGGAATTTATTCTATAGATATAGTCAAACATATATAAAGTGATATGTGTACAAGGTTATTCACTACAGTATTGTCTGAACTGCCATAGGCTGGAAACAACTAAAATGTTCCTCAGTGGATGGCTGGTTAAATATAAGTAGAACATCTAAGGAGTAATGGAGTGATAATCATAGTAAGAATTAGGGTGTTCTATATGTACTAATATAAGACAATCTTCAACAACAATGGCTTATACTATTTTAATGGTAACTCTGGGCTGGGCATTGCTTTAAATGCTTTACATATGTTGAATAGATACTATTGATTATCCCCATTTAAGTGACTTACTCAAGGTCAAATCTACTAAGAGGGGTGCCAGATTTCAACTCAGGCATTCTTGCTTCAAAGTCCTTGTTCTTCAAGTTAACTCTTAATATGGTTAAGTGACAAAAGCAAGGTACAGAAGAGGGCAATTTGCTCTTATATGGACCAATAGGTCTTTGGTAAGATAACCAAGAAACTGGTTGCGTCTGAGGAGGGCAACTGGAGCCAGGGCTAGGGGGCAGCTTTAGAGAGTTGATTTATTTTTCCATTTACAAGTATTTCAAAATAATGCTTTTTAATGCTGCAACAGACATACTTGTAGGTACACGCTGGCATACTTGTTATATAGTTTAGTGAATTCCTTGTAGCTGTCGGTAGCAAACAGAGCACTGAGCCAGTTGCCTTTAACCCTTGATCTCCAGAGATCAGGGTTCCAGGAAAAGGGCCCCAGGTCCCGCCTTGACATCTACAGCAGAAGGGTGTGTCATCAGGGCCATAGCTACATGCCTATACCTGTTGGCAACACAATTTTCCATTCCTTAGAGGAATGTATTACTTTCACTATCTCACGATTAATTTCAAGATTGAATGTGATAAACAAAACCTATTGAGCACCAGGAGGGGCAGCTAACAAATGCACTTATTTTACAGCTGTTTCTCAAAGTTGTAAGTTCCTTTCATTGAGGATTTTCTTGGAGATATTAGCATATAAGAATATTTGCATATCTGGATCTTGGATAAGAAATGCACAACATTAAAATCAGTCATAACTGTGGAAATCCAAACACATGTTCCTTCACAAATGAGATAATATAGATAGAAACGAACAATCAGCTTGGTAATTAAAGAATGCACAGAAATAATTCATTAAATTGCTTGTATTCTTTTCTGGTCTTAGCATGTGATACACACACATAACACACACGCAAACCTCACCTTAACTTCCTAGAAGAAAAATAGGCAATTTTCATAAGCTTTATTAGTATTACTCCATCAGTACATGGTTAGTATTCCCCAACATATTCCAAAATGCCCATCTGCAATTCTATCCTGACATATGCCATGCACTCCTACCCTCCTTCTAACTCTGCCCTCCTTTGGTTTTTCCATTTTTTTTTCTTTTTTGAAGAAATTTTATTTTTCAATTAGAGTTGACATCGAATATTATTTTATATTAGTTTCAAATGTACAAGAGACTGGTAAGAAGACATTTATATAATTTATGAAGTGATGCCCCCCAATTAGTCTAGAACCCACCTGGCACTATACCTAGTTGTCACAATATTACTGACTATATTCCCTATGTTTTTTTTCACACATTCATGACTATTTTGTAATTCCAATTTGTACTTCTTAATCCTGTCATCTTTCTAATCCAGCCCCCCAACACCTCTTCCATTTGGCAATTACCAGTTTGTTCTCTGTATCTATGAGTCTGTTTCTGTTTTGTTCATTTATTTTGTTCTTTAGATTCCACATATAACAGAAATTATGTGGTATTTGTCTTTCTCTGTCTGACTTATTTCATTTAGCGTAATACCCTATAGGTCCATTCATGTTGCAAATGGTAAGATTTTATTTGTTTTTATGGTTGGGTAATATTCCATTGTATATATGGACCACAACTTTTTTACTGAATTGTCTATTGATGGGCACTTACGTTGCTTCCATATCTTGGCTATTGGAAATGGTGCTGCAGTGAACACCAGGGTGCATATATCTTTTCAAATTAGGTGTTTAGATTTCTTTGGATAAATACCCAGAAGTGGAATGCTGGGCCAAATGGTAGTTCTATTTTTAATTTTTTGAGGAACCTCCAAACAGTTTTCCATAGTGGATCTACCAATTTTTAATCCCATCAGCAGTGCATGAGGGTTCCCTTTTCTCCACATCTTTGCCAGCACTTGTTGTTTGTTGATTTATTGATGAAAGCCATTCTGATGGGTGTGGAGTGATAACTTAATGGAGTTTTAATTTGCATTTCTCTGGTGATTAGTGATGTTGAACATCTTTTCATATTTCTGTTGTATGTCCTCTTTGGAAAAATGCCTATTTATTAGGCATTTTTAACTAGATTGTTTTTTGCAGGGTTGAGTTGTGTGAGTTCCTTATAATTTTTGAATATTAACCCCTTATCAGAT